TGGAGAGGCAGGAAGAGAGAGAGGCAGGAGGCTATCGTGGTCATCCTGGCGACAGACCATGGGGGCCAGAAGTAGGGTTGGAGCAGTAAGGACAGACAGCTGTCAATGGAGCTGAGAGACACTCGTGTGCTGGTCTGGCTGTGAAGGGGAGTGAGGAGTGAAGGAAGACTCACACAGTAAAAGCACTAGGAGAATCACGCATGCTGAGTTTTGTCCACGAACAAAGGGAGGTGTCTGTGCTACAGCCGAGTAGGGGTGTCCAGCAGGCCTGGGACCCTTAGATCCAGAGCGCAGATGGCAGGCCAGGCTGGAGGGGCCTAGGGTGTCATCAGCACAAAGCAACAGGACACCCATCTGGGAGGGGCTCCAAACAGTGGATTTTTTTTTTAATACTTCCCCCCAGATTTTTTTCTTGAAAATTTCCAAATACACAGAAAAGTCGGTACAATGAATCTCCTTCTGCCCTTCCTCTAGAGTGACCAATTATTAGTACAGTCATGTGTTACCCAGTGATGGGGATATGTTCTCAGAAATGCGTCCTTAGGAGATTTGGTTGCTGCGCAAACATTGCAGAGTGAACTCACACGAGCCTGGATGGTGTATCCCACTACACACCTAGGCTATATGGTGTGGCCTGTTGCTCCTGGGCTGCAAACCCATTGCTGTACTGAACACTGTAGGCAATTGTACCACAATGGTAAGTATTTGTGTATCTAAACGTAGAAAAGGTACATTAAAAATATGGTATAAGCAGCCAGGCATGGTGGCTCATACCTGTAATCCTAGCACTCTGGGAGGCTGAGGCAGGAGGATCACTTGAGGCCAAGAGTTCAAGACCAGCCTGAGCAAGACTGAGACCCCATCTCTATAAAAAACAGAAAAAATTAGCCAGGCATGGTGGCACATGCCTGTAGTCCCAGCTACTCTGGAGGCTGAGGCAAGAGGATCGCTTGAGCCCAGGAGTTTGAGGTTGTAGTGAGTTATGACACCACTGCGTTCTAGCCAAGGTGACAGAGTGAGACTCTGCCTCAAAAATTAAAAACAAAATGGTATAGGAGATAAAAATGGTACACCTGTATAGGGCACTTGCCAAGAATGGAGCTTGCAGGACTGGAAGTTGCTCTGGATGAGTCAGTGAGTGAGTGGTGAGTGAATGTAAAGGCCTAGGCCATTACTGTACACTATTGCAGACTTTATAAATACTGCACACTTAGGCTACACTAAATTTATAAAAACTTTTCTTGAG